GTACAGGTCAAACTCATCAGGTGCCCCTTCCAGGTCCCAACCTGTGACCAGACCTTCCCTCCACTCCCCAGCAGAAGGGAACGAATGTGACCACAGGCCTGCATCACGGCCTTCCTGGGCTCTAGGCGCTTTTGCTTTTGTGGGCCCCTTCTTCCATTAAAAAAATTAAAATTATATTTTATGACTGCTTTGGTACAAAAAGGAATATTATTTAGGCTGGATTATATTAAAATTTTGCTTTCGGTTTTAAAAGAAATTAAAACATTTTCTTGGGTCCCTAAAATATCCCCAAACACACCACCAACTGTGTAATGAAGTCAGGTGTGTGTGATGAAGTCAGCCTTGAATGGTTGAGCTCGCCATCCTGTCCCGGGCTTAAAGCATCTGATAGTGCATTTAAGTTGTGCAGCAAACCTTTGTAGAGGGCATGGTTATGTCCATTACAGAGATGGGGAAAACTGAGGCTCTGAGAGGTTGGCCAGCTCACCCAGGAGCACAGAGGGAGACTACAGCAAAGCTCACGTCTGTCTGAGAGTTTGCCACATAGCCACAGGAAGTTCCAACAAAGGTACCCTTGGGCTCTGCTGAGAGTGACATCCACCTGGCAGTGAATTTGTCACAGTGTCAAGATAAATATGGGACTGACACAGGGATGGTTGGTGGGACAGAGGGACTTGGGTGACTTAGTTGGATTCTTGCTTGACTTATGGCCACTTTGGCTCCAGAGTGGCGGTGAGGGTTAGGGAAAAAGGAAGGGCCACTTCCTTGCCCTTGAACTTGTACTTCTGGGCAAAGCTGGTGGCCTCTGGGTCTGTGACTGCTGTTGGGGTGGATCCTGGGGCTATTTGTAGGCTGGGAATGATCCCTCCAGCTCCGATGGCAGGTGGTAGGTAATAAGGTGTCTGCTCTGTAATGAGCTCAGTGGGAAGTTAATAAACACCGTAACAGTCAGAGAGCAATTGCAGACTTGAGCATGGAAGAAGAGAAATAGCCGAGGGGTGGCAGGACCCCTGAGCTGAGGAGCAGCTGTGCCGAGGATCCCCCACCCTACCTGCCCGACATCAGAAGTTGCAGAGGAGTCTGGCTGGCAGTCCCTGCTTCTTGTAGTGGCTCTGCTGTTCCCTGGTGCATGACCTTGGGCCAGTGGCTTCATAGTCTCATAGCTACCTCCTCTGTACAGTGGGGCTAATGAGAATTAAACAGCTCTGGCACTGACGTCACGGGCACGTGGTGATGCTGCAGCCCAGCATCCTGCCGAGTGCCAGGAACCAAGGCTGCTCTCAACAGCTAGAAGCCAGCAGTGAAGAGCTGAAGGCTGCTGTCCGCCCCCCCAGATATTTCCTCCGACATACTGGGTTCTTGGCTTGGTGCTGCTTGTGCGCACTGCATCGGACAGGTCCCCTGGGCCTTAGGTTCACTGGAGGGGGACAGAAAATAACAAATAAGGATTATACAATGTGTCAGGGAGCAGCCGTGAAGGAGGAGAAGAGGGGTAGAGAGAATTGGGGGGCTGCTCTTTTATTGAGGGGAGTCAAGGAAGGATGCTCTGGTGAGGTGACATTGGAGCAGAGTCTTAAAGACAGTGAGGGGACAAGCCATGAAAATAGCCGGGGGAGAAGTGCTCTAGGATGGGCCAGCAAGAGCAAAGGCCTTGGGGTGCGAAGGTGAGGTTGGGTTTGAGAACAGAAGAGGCCAGGGTGGCCAGAGGCAGGGGAGGAGAACTGAGGTCAGAGAGGTAACGGGGGGCAGGCTGAGTGGGGACTTTGTTAGGACTCTCCTTTGGGGACAGCCTTGTGGTTGCAGTGACTGACCATGTTGTCACCTGCCTGTGCCCTTGGCTGTCGGCCCCATTAGGGGTGGCCCAGCTGCAGGGAGCCACCTTGCCTTCCTTGCTGTCCACATCCAGTGTCTGACCACGGCGGGGTCTGTGGGCTGGCCGACGTGGGCTAACTCTGATGGGCCATCCTAACTCCTGGGCTCTCCCGGGGCTGCCTTTCCGCCTGGCCCCTCCCTCTGCCCAGCCCTCTCTCCTTCCGTTTCCAGCCGCATTGATCCCAAGAGCACAGGCTTAACCCCATCTCCGTTTCTCCTTTTAGAAAATGGAATTGAGACCCCAATGGATGGCTTTCCTTCTGTCTCAGCATTCTGGATTGGGTGATAAAGGCCATTCTGGCAAGGGTCGAGGTGGCTTTTGGTGCCTTTTTCTTCCTGAAATCCAACCTGGTATGAGGGGAATTGTAAGGACTTGGGCTTCTAGTGAGATGGAGAACGCTTGGAGAGTTGTGCTCAGAGGAGGGACACGATCTGATCTGCCTTTTGGAAGGATCACCCTGCCTGCTGCGCGGAAAGCAGGGTGGACTCCTAGAGGCCAGAGTTGGGAGGTTTGCAAGGGTTTAAGAGCAAGGTGACAAGTCCCTTCTGAATCTCAAAACCAGAAACTCGATCACTGTAACTTCTGTTACTGCTGATAATCCACAAAGACAGGGGTCAAAAGTCCTGGAAAATAGGGAAACAAAAAACCCCTTCTGTCTGGTGCTCAGAGGGGTCTCCTGGGGCATAATCTTCCCAGGACTCTTGGAATCCTTAATACTGCTCAAATTTAGTTGAGGTTCACTGTTTACCGGTACCTCTTGTGTGCCAGGTCCGTCCTGGCATCAGGGTTACAGCAGTGACCAGAGTCAGTCCTGTCTGTGAGGATTTTATGATCTAGTGAGGGAGACAGACAAGTCGATGGGAGATTGCAACCCAGTAAAAAGTGCTCTGATGGGGCATTGAGGGGCCTGTGATGCATCTGGGAGGCTCCTAAATTAATTTGGGGAGGGGAGTAAAAGAAGAGTGGGTGATGTCCTAGCAGGAACAGAAGCAGGAGTAGGAATTAGCAAGGGTAGGTGGGTGGGGAGAAGAGGAGTCCCAAAGCATGCGCAAAGGCCCAGAGGTGACAGAGAGATCACAGTGGCTTCTAGGAGATCTGGTATTTCAGAGTGGCCAGGTGCAGAGTGTGAGATGAGGCTGGAGGTGGGGGCAGAAGGGCGGGTAGGTGTTGAATCAGGAAGGGGTTGGTCTATGAGTTACAACTTTTATCCTCTTACGTCGTCATGGCAGCCCTCCTTCAAAGCCACAGCTGCTCATGCAAGAATTTGTGGATCGCTTTTATCCCACAATGTGGAATGTTGAAATGGAAGTACCCCTGGGGCCATCAATTCTGTTTTCTGAATGAAGAAACCAAGTCCCAGACAAGAAGAGATTCGACCAAGGATCACTGCCAAGCTGGGCCATGGTGTGGGGCTCAGGCTCTTCCCTGCCTAACACGTTGAGCATTTGTCCCTAAAGCTTTGCCGTTTGGTTTGAGCAAGCAGCTAAAACTTGGATAAAGCCACCAGTGTGGGCTTGGCAGAGAGTAGATGGGCAGTTAATATCAGTTCTTCTTCGCTTTCCTTTCACGTATTCTAGCTCTCCTGCTGCTCTCTGGCTGTGCAACCTTTGGATAAGGCCTCACCCTCTCTGGGCCTCCTCTGCTTGATGGGAAGCCACCTGGAGTATCTTCCAGGGCTAAAGTTCTGAGAATAGGAAGGAACAGATAATTATTTGGCTGCTAGGATAGTCACACAATTTTGTTTCTGCTAAGATTTTCTGCCTCTCAGAGCAGCCTGGAACATTTTACTTTACCCACGGGCCTGGGGTGCAAATTAGAAACAGAGGCAGGGGGCCAAAGAGGAGAATCCACAAAGGGCTGAAGCAGCCCCACAGTGTGTGCTTGCATTTGGGTTTTGTCCCTCCAGAAGAGCCATTTCCAAGCCAGCAGCTGTCTGTCCCCTTTGAAGAGTCTTCGCGGCAGCCACCATCCATCACCCGCTTGGCATGACCGTTAAGTACCAGTGCTCAGTGCCGAGGGCTGCGGGAGGGGACTCCGAGAGGGGTCAGCCCAGGGCCAGGGAATTAGAAAGAGGCAATCAAAACAGAGGGGATGGAGCAAACTGGTTAACACGCAGGCTGTGAATGAGGCGGCGCTGGGTCAGATCCCCACGTGGTGGGCCATTGCCACTCAGCTGCCTCATTTTGCTCTGTGGGTTTTGATAACAGATTTTTGTTCTTCCTTAGTGGGAATGGCCCTTTCCTACATCTGAAACCCCTTCCAGCCTCAGGGGGTGGGCATGCAACCCCAGTCTGGACAATAGCACTTTCCAATCCTGACCACAGGGAGAAGGTTAAATGGTCACATGTCCTCAGGTTGGTCCAATGAGACTTGCATTTTGATGGTGGTTGGTTTGGGGTATACCTAGAGCTGTTTTTGGCCACCTTACCTCCAAAAGAGAGAATTTGCCAGAGAATAAAACTATCACAAAGCACACTAAGAGATGGAAAAGATAGATACGTGAGTGCCTGGATTCAGCCATGTCTGATGCTATTCCCTTAGACTTTTCTGCTATATGAGCCTGTAAGCTCCTTACATTGGCTTAAGGGTTTTTATTTTTAGTTGGATTTATGTCAAGAGTAGCCATGAGTCCTCCACTATTCCACCCATTCGGCATGTGATTTCACATCTTTTGACCTCAGTTTTCTTCCCTGTAAAAAAGAATACGTTGCAGGGTTAATATTTATGTTAAATGAAATAATGCATGTCACTCATCACAGTGTCTGACCAATAAATGCTCAATTCAGCTATAATTAAGCCACTCCCATCCTGTTAGGATCCACAGAGCCCTTTCTCGGTGCCTTGATCTCATGTGAAGGGTTCCTGTGAGGCTTAAACAAGGCGTCGTGAAGGCAAAATGCCCACCGTGTCGTCTGGCACATTCAAGTATGGGTGTTCCCTGGTTGCCCGATGAGCAATCAGGTTACGGAAGCCCGGGAAGCGGGATGGTGGTTTTCCTGCATCTTGCGGCTGCCCCCTGGTGGGCGAGGCTGGCCCGGAGGCTGGTCCAGAGGCTGGAGCCCGCCCCTCAGGGCGGGGTCAGGCCGCAGGGGATTCTGGGGCCGGTGGGCGGAGCTGGTCTTGGACCCTCTGGTGAATGTGGAAGTTTCTGGAGGCTTCTGGGAGTTCCTGAAGCCCTTAGGCGGTCTTTCTCATGGGTGAGGCTGCGTCCCCGCCCAGTTAGTCGCCTGACCTGAGGTGTCGCAGCACGAGCGCGTCCAGGCTGTCAGGTGCGGCCGGGCGCTGGCGGAGGCCGGCAGCAATGCCCTGCGGTAGGAGGAGGCCCCAAGTATGGCTGCCGCCAGCGTCTGTGGCCCCGGGCTGAGCCGCGGTCCCCCGCCTCTCCGGGAGACCCTCCAAGACCAGAGGTAGGTCTGGCCTAGGCTCCTAGAGCATTACGGCTTCTGCCCTCGGTCCCGGAGCGCGTCAGAGTCTGTGTGTGCCCTTTGAGTTCGAAGCCTCGGTTTCCTCTCCGCCTCCCGGGCCTCCCGGAATGAAGCCCCGCTGGCCTCCAAAGCCAGGTGCTCGGGGAGCTCTTCTTCCTGGAGCTGGACGTGGGGCTCAGACCTCTACTGTGGGAGGACGTCTGGAGTGTGTGGGTCGCCCACCGAGGGTAGGGCTGTATCGCGAGTCTGCGCCTCCTGCCTGTCTCTTTGTGGGTCCTTCTTCACTTGTAGAAGATCTTTTCTGGTAGCTTCTGGTCTTTTTCATCCGTGGTGGTTCTGCAGATAGCTGTGATTTTGGTGTGTTCATGGGAGGAGGTGAGTTCAGGGTCTTTCTACCCCTCCCTTCGTGGCGGGTCTCTCCTATAACACTTTGAAGATGGTTCATTTTGTGTGTCGACTTGACTGGCTCACAGGGTGCCCAGACTTTTGGTCAAAGGTTCTGTGTGTGTCTGTGAGGATGTTTCTGAAATACCCAAACTGATGATAAGCATAGTTGCTTTCGCCAGAATAATGATACAGCCAGTAATGGTACAGAAATTTTGTTTTTTTCCTTTGTTTTTCCCCCTCTTTAGAATATTTCTTAAAGAGAAATGCGGCATATATCTGAAAACAAAAAACAAGTGGGTATATATCCGAAAAAACACTTTAAAAGATACCCCAGTGTTCATAGCAGTGTTATTTGCCAAGATGTGGAAGCAACCCAAGTGTCAACAGATGAATGGATAAAGAGGATGTGTGTGTGTGTGTGTGTGTGTGTGTGTATGGTGGAATGCTATTCAGCCATAAAAAAGAATGATATACTGCCATTTGCAGTAACATGGATGGACCTAGAGGTTATCATACTGAGTGAAGTAAGTCAGACAGAGAAAGACAAATGTTATATGATGTCAGTTATGTGTGGAATCTAAAAAGTACAACAATGAATATAACAAAAAAGCAGACACACAGGTATAGAGAACAAACTAGTGGGCTGGTCGGGAGAGGGAGGGGCTAGGGGTGTAAGAGGTTCAAACTATTATGTATAAAATAAGCTGCAAGGATGTATTGTACAACACAGGGGATATAGCCAATATTTTGTAATAACTGAGTGGAATATAACCTTTAAAAATTGTGAATCACTATATTGTACACCTATAACTTATATAATATTGAGTAGCAACTGTAGTTCAATAAAAAAAATAAAATGATACTTAAAACCCAAAAATAAACGTAAAAAAGAATATAGGACTTACAGATATGATTAAGACAGTTTTGTCCTTGAACAGCTTATAAATTAGTGCCAGAGATAGACCAGAGAAAAAATGTGTTCTTTGTTAATGTTATTTGGATGGGCTCTACTGAATTCCATGGTTTTTAAAAAACATTTCTGTATTTTGGCCATTGTGGCCATTCCCCTCACCCTGATTTGTGGCCATTCTGAATGAAGTTTCTGGAGTGTGTTGTCTTCTTTTCCTGTCTGGGACCTCACATGGGCTCTTATCATGTAAAGGAGTGCACCGTTTCTCCTATCCTTCTTTAATTTGGGTCATCCTTGAGGTTGCAGCCTAGCTACATCCCCTCCAGGAAGTCTTCCTGGATGCACCAGTTCTAGAATAAGGTGTCCCTCCTTCCTGTAGAGCCCTTTCCTCTCATCACAATGTATGATAAACATCAGATGGCCTGCACCTGGGCCCCTTTTCTCTCCCTCCTCTTCGGAGACGGCCCCCACTCTGTCTGTGGAGTGTGTATCTACTTTTACTTTAACCTGAGCACCCAACTGCCACACCTTTTTCCTTGCTTTTCTTTTGCTTTACACTTTATGCAGTATACATCTCTCTAAATAAATCTACCTTTACTCAACTGTGAAAAAAAATAGCTTGCACCTGGCTGGACCAGGAGTTCTGAAGATCCCAGGACCACATCTCATTCATAGCTGTAACTGGTGCAATGTAGCACAAAAGAAGCCACACATAAATGTTGGACAAATGTTAAATAAACACTGCAGCTCACATCCTTGGATCATCGTGGAGAAAGGACTGGCACCCCTGTTTGATAGAAGATGAGCTGGAGACTCAGAAAGGTGGCGAAAGCGGAAATGAAGCAGAACTGAATTCAGAATTTAGTTTCCTCTGATTCCAAAGTAGTTTTGTACTTAGCTACACTGCCTCCGTTTTAGCACCTTGGATTGCTTCTCCCATTCTTCCCCCCTAGCTTCCCAGCTCCGGGAAAAGGCTAGAGACAGAGGAAAAGAAGCTGGAGAGAGGGCTCTGTAACCTGGGAAACAGAAGGCATCACCTTCTCCAGCAGGAGAGAAGCCGGGAACACACATGATGCCAGCATTTCCTGTTATTTTCTTCCAGAGGAGAACTTGGCCTCCTTTCCTCATGCTGGGGACTCACAAAATCCGATTTGAAATCTACTCAAGTGTACATTAACCAGCTTCCTTTTGGCACAGGCTGGGGAGCCTATAATTAGAGCAGACACCATACCATTTAGCGAGTTTCATTCACAGGAACAGAAAGTGTGCTTGCAAAGGGAGACGACTGGAGAAGCAAACTTCTCTGGAGAGCTTGCACCTGCTGAGTGCCAAAAAGATGCCTTTCTAAGTTCAGAGATTGTGGCTGGCTGAACACAGGTGGGGACACCACCCTGGGAAGGCAACACCAGGTTGTCCTCAAACAAATTGAGCTTGGGTCAGGGCGCATGTATTCAAATCAACACGCAGGTAAACATCTCAACTTCTCTGAGCTGTTTCTGCATCTGTGCAATTGGGACATTATCACTGACCTCACAGAGTTATATTGTCAAGGTCTAGATGAGATGGTGTATGAATAAAACTAGAGTAGGCTCTCAGAAATGATAAACAGTACTTCTTCTTAAAACCACCACCTCCACCAATAAAATAACCAGCATTTATTCAGCATGTATTACATCCCAGACCATGTTCTAACACTTTATACCTATTAACTCAATTTCACAACATTTGGTAAATAATGCATTTGAGGAAACTGAGACCCAGGGAGATTGTGCCACTTGCACAAAATTCACACAGGATGATAGTTTTTACTAATATCCCAAGGGGTATGGGAGAGCATGACAGTATAAGAGAGTATATGGAATACAAACTCATCAGTGTTGAGGTCCACATTTTCCTTATTAGGATCTTGGGACCTAGTAAAGGGAGATTTTTTAGGTAAACTCTCATTTATTGGGTGTTATCTAGTATAATCTAGATGCTTTAATAGCTATTATTTTATTTAATAATTTATTTTTCTCCCTGGGAGATTGCAGATGTGAAAGAATAGAGCCAGAGATTGGTATGTCTTGCCAATGTCATGCAGAGCTGTGATTAAAACTCTGGGTGGTCCAATCGCATACAAATTAACTCATTTTACAGTACCACAGGATCACGTGAGCCAGTCAGGACGCTTAGATACAGAAGCTAGCTTAAAGGAAAAGGAAATTTATTGGATCATCAAATTAAAAACTCTCAAAGCAGGCCTTCAGGCATGGCTGGATCCAGGTGCCTGAATAAACACAGACATTTATCTTTCAACCCCTCTTCTCTCTCTGATGGCTTCATCCTTAAGAAGTCCCTCTCCTCTTTGTGGTGAGATCTCCATTGGTTTTTTGAGTATCTGGCCCTGGCTGATTTTCCCCCACCTCCCACCATTGGCTTCACTACCTTACCCAAGTTAGAAGACGAGGTGATGTGGTCTTCATGGGTCAGCCGCCTGAGAGTCAAGAGCAGAGCAGGGAAGGAAGTGGGGGGGGGTGGAGGCCAGAAGGAGAATAACCAACCATTGCTCCCACTCCTCCATCTAGGCTCTAGTTTTGGTTCCTTCTTAAGTGCTATAGATTTTCTACCAAAACAGGAGGCTGCCCTGATGCAGTTTTCATCCTAGGGATTGGATGCTTTTCACCTCCCAGGCATTGGCTGGGCCAATCAGGAAGTATGGATGCACTCTCCCTCCGGCTTGGGATCTCTCTTTGTCAAAACCCAGGACCCCACCTCTCGATGCCTGACTTGGGGTTTCTTCCTCCCCTGGCAGCCCAGGTCCACTCATCTCCTTGGGCTCCATTTCTTTCTTGTATCCTGCCGCTTAGCTCTTTTTCTGTCTTAACTACATCTGTTCCTCATCCCACCCCCAGGGCTTGGCCCACTGAGCCCCATTTGTCTTGCTTCCACCTCTTTCCAGATGTGGCATTGGGAACCAGCCCTCCTTATTCCTTCTCTGCTTCTTTGGCTCTTGCCCAGCTGGGCACCATTCACCCACTGGGTGATTGAGGGCCACTTACCTTCTGTGGGCCTCAGTCTTCTTAGTTGCAGAAATGGGGGTGATCCCTACCGATCAGTTGACCACAGTGAAAGCCTGAGCTTGGTGATTATATTTACAGTAACACGAACACAACATGTGAGGAATTACCAGGAGGTTTCGGGCGGCTGCAAGGCTGGATTTGTACTGGTATCGCCCCATTACCAGGTGTCATGTTGCATTTGCATGAGGTAGCTGTATGGAATTCCACTCCCTTGTACTGTATGAAATATTCACCCACCTTCCCTGGAAGAGATGAGAGCATCCTCTCTGCTTCCTGGCTGTTCCACCATGAATGGAGCCAAGCCCCAGGCTGTCACTAATAAAGGATGACACCAGGAACTTAAGCAGAGCCTTGGGCTTCTGGGACAGAGGGGTGAAGCTAGTGGGTGGTGCAGAACAGAGGGGAGGGGTCATGACATCTGTAGCGGTCCAGGGTCCGGTAGAGCCTCATTACTCGCCTGTTCCCCATAGGTAAAGACACGTGGAATTGGAAGGAGTCACGGATTGAGTTGTGTGCCTCCATCTCAAATCCTTATATTGAAGTCCTTTCAGTACCTCCAAATGTGGTGTTACTTAGAAATAGGGTCATTGTAGATGTGAGGAGTCAAGATGAGGTCATGCTGG